AGGCGGTGCTATAGGAGTGGGCGGTGCTATAGGAGTGGGCGGTGTTATAGGAGTGGGCGGTGTTATAGGAGTGGGCGGTGTTATAGGGATGGGCGGTGTTATAGGAGTGTTATAGGAGTGGGCGGCACACACAGGCGGGGTGAAGAAGGAAGACTGGCCAGAGGACGTGAATTACAAGGTCAGCGGTACAGTCCCTGTATCGCTGCCCTTCACACCTGTTAAAGAGGAGATATGACATATATAAATGATACATTAAGGCAGGACCCTATAACAGACGTATAAGGACAGTCCCCGACAAAAAATGAATTCCATACACCGTTTCAAAGTATACACTCTGTATATACTCAGGTATACCTGCGCCGGATACCGAAATATCATATTTTGGGTCCACCACCAACAGAATATATATACTGTATCCACATGCAGAAAATCACATGTTTTTCCCCTACAAATAGACCCCTGTCCTCTTAAAAAGAACGTTGCTTTTGGCCGTTTGCCCGTATGGCCGAATATGGACATAATTTGAAAATGAAAAAAAATGAAAATAAATTTGGATTTTTTTTCAACAACAGTAAGTTAAGGGTCCTCTGATAGGTTAGGTGGGCAGGAAATTCTCATAAAGTTTCAAAACGTTATGAAAAACGTTAATGAAAAGTTTCCTCTTCTAACCTTACCGAGTAAGCCGGACGACTCAAATAGAAAACGGAACAGTACGTCACTTTTGTGAGTCGATTTCATTTCAAATTATGTCCAAATTTGGCCATAGTGCGCATACGAGCCAAAAGTGACGTTATTTTTAAGAGGACGGGCTGTACAGAAAGCCAAAAATTATGCGTACTAGGAAATGGATGCGGCTGGCGAAAATAACGTCCTTTCCCGTTTTCTGTTTTGGGTCCTCTGGTAGGTTAGGAGAGACCACTTTAAATTGACCATTTTCTTGACATTGGAAAAACCTTAAGAGACCGGACTGCTACAAAACCACTTTACCATTAGTTTCAATAGTTGTTTAATGAAATATGAAAAAAAAAATACAGCAAAAATATCCTTACAGGCTATTGGGTCTTTTTTATGCCTCGAAATACGGGGCTTTATTGGGAAAAAAGACAAAGAAATCATTGTTAGAGATGATGAATTTGGTTGGGGGAACGGAACTATTAATTTCCCACAGGAGTAGAAGGGTAGTTGGATTGTTTGGGTTTTATCTTCTGGGCCACGTTTTTGTTGTCATTGTTTGCAGATAACGTTGTTTGCAGATAACGTTTGTTTGCAGATAACGTTTGTTTGCAGATAACGTTGTTTGCAGATATCGTTTGTTTGCAGATAACGTTTGTTTGCAGATAACGTTTGTTTGCAGATAACGTTTGTTTGCAGATAACGTTGTTTGCAGATAACGTTGCTTGCAGATAACGTTGTTTGCAGATAACGTGTGTTTGAAGATAACGTTTGTTTGCAGATAACCTTTGTTTGCAGATAACGTTGTTTGCAGATAACGTTGTTTGCAGATAAGGTTGTTTGCAGATAACGTTTGTTTGCAGATAAACATGCTACAGGAGAGATCAAACAAATTACAGTAGACTTCATCCAAGGTATACAAGACTACATCTCACAACATAAATATTCCGCGAAAAATTGAGAAGTTCTAGATGTAAAAACATGTATACTATACATGTATACTAGTATACATTGATAGATCCGGGTTTTTCCGAAAGTATCCACAAGTTAAGATAAAGGAGAAATCCAAGTGCTTTAGTGTAGTAATACGTTTTCAAGGAGTTCTCTGATGTTTCGATAAATATATATAAATGTATATATATATAAATATATATATACATGTATATAAATAAATAAATAAATAAATAAATAAATAAATAAATAAATAAATAAATAAACTTTACTTGTCAATAATAAGTTATACTTTATTGAGTAACATGACTTTGTGATACGTGATTTACATTTTCTTTGGTTCTGGCTTTTGAACCTGTAACTAAATCATTAGCAATAGTATGGAGACTTCCTATACTGCAGCTGTTCTATGTTTACATCAACGTGCTTAGATTTGTAGTGTTTATTTTCTGTAAGACGGTTCATCTCTGTCGATATGTGAGACTGTTTCTGTCTATTTCTGTGTGTGTACCCTAACACTCTGCCGGCGTTCTTTCTCTGTCATTATTTCTCTTTTTCTTAGTCTCATTCTCATTCGCTGCTGAGCGCTGGCTGGTTAATTAATCTAGGGGAATGTGGGTAGGGTCGGTGATGTCCAGGTTCCTGTTCCTTCTGTCTTGTTGTCTCTGCCACTCTCTATATCATCTCTGCCCCTTGTGGCTTGTCTCTGCCACTCTCTATATCATCTCTGCCACTCTCTATATCATCCCTGCCCCTTGTGGCTTGTCTCTGCCACTCTCTATATCATCCCTGCCCCTTGTGGCTTGTCTCTGCCACTCTCTATATCATCTTTGCCCCTTGTGGCTTGTCTCTGCCACTCTCTATATCATCTCTGCCCCTTGTGGCTTGTCTCTGCCACTCTCTATATCATCTCTGCCCCTTGTGGCTTGTCTCTGCCACTCTCTATATCATCCCTGCCCCTTGTGGCTTGTCTCTGCCACTCTCTATATCATCCCTGCCCCTTGTGGCTTGTCTCTGCCACTCTCTATATCATCTCTGCCACTCTCTATATCATCCCTGCCCCTTGTGGCTTGTCTCTGCCACACTCTATATCATCCCTGCCCTTGTGGCTTGTCTCTGCCCACTCTCTATATCATCTTTGCCAGCTTGTGGCTTGTCTTTGCCACTCTCTATATCATCTCTGCCACTCTCTATATCATCCCTGCCCCTTGTGGCTTGTCTCGCCACTCTCTATATCATCCCTGCCCCTTGTGGCTTGTCTCTGCACTCTCTATATCATCTTTGCCCTTGTGGCTTGTCTCTGCCACACTCTATATCATCCCTGCCCCTTGTGGCTTGTCTCTGCCACACTCTATATCATCCCTGCCCCTTGTGGCTTGTCTCTGCCACTCTCTATATCATCTTTGCCAGCTTGTGGCTTGTCTCTGCCACTCTCTATATCATCCTGCCCCTTGTGGCTTGTCTCTGCCACACTCTATATCATCCCTGCCCCTTGTGGCTTGTCTCTGCCACTCTCTATATCATCTTTGCCAGCTTGTGGCTTGTCTTTGTCACTCTCTATATCATCTCTGCCCCTTGTGGCTTGTCTCTGCCACTCTATATCATCCCTGCCCCTTGTGGCTTGTCTCTGCCACTCTCTATATCATCTTTGCCAGCTTGTGGCTTGTCTCTGCCACTCTCTATATCATACCTGCCCCTTGTGGCTGTCTCTGCCACACTCTATATCATCCCTGCCCCTTGTGGCTTGTCTCTGCCACTCTCTATATCATCTTTGCCAGCTTGTGGCTTGTCTCTGCCACTCTCTATATCATACCTGCCCTTGTGGCTTGTCTCTGCCACACTCTATATCATCCCTGCCCCTTGTGGCTTGTCTCTGCCACTCTCTATATCATCTTTGCCAGCTTGTGGCTTGTCTCTGCCACTCTCTATATCATACCTGCCCTTGTGGCTTGTCTCTGCCACTCTCTATATCATCTCTGCCCCTTGTGGCTTGTCTCTGCCACTCTCTATATCATCCCTGCCCCTTGTGGCTTGTCTCTGCCACTCTCTATATCATCTCTGTTCCTTGTGGCTCGTCTGATGCCCTCCAGGGGAGCATATTAATCATCCCACCGGGTTTGCATTGCTCTCCACTAGCTGATATAAGCCTTACCACAAGTCAAAATTTGCATTCATCGTGACTTCCTCCGCCCGCCTTATTGGAGTTTGAAAATAGAAGCCAAATTCGTCATTTCCTGTCCGCTCTAATGGCGTAAGTTTCCTTTATTGATTCTATTTGGGAAGCTTAGTTATTATTTTTTGTACTATTTTCTTTGGCTAGGACAGTAACAGAAATGTATTGTCCTCAGCAGCAATTATTTTAATCGTTATTTATATAATTTTTAAACAATTATTATTTTAATTTTAAACGATAAGAAATATTTCAATAAAATAATTCTTGAAACCATAAAATCAACCGTCGTTCAAACTGTTATTCCAACCATTATTTAAACTAATATTTAAACCTAATATTTAAACCACTGTTCAAACCCTTATAATAAATCATTGTGTAAACCATTCTTTAAACTATTGGTAAATCTGGGATTTAAACCATTATCTTAAAGCATTGTTTAAACCAATATTCACACTATGAATCAAACCATCATTTAAACCATTATTCGAACCATTTTTTAAACCATTAATTAGATCATTACTTGATCAGGGGGAGGGGGGAGGGGGAGGGGGGAGGGGGGGGGGGTGATGGTAATTAATACACCGTTGAACTTCTCGGGTAACTTGCCTCAAATTAATGTTCATTAATTAAGAGAAATCGTATAAGAAGAACAGCGAGAGAGAGAGAGAGAGAGAGAGAGAGAGAGAGAGAGAGAGAGATTATCTCAACAGTCAGCATAAGGGGCTTAGTTGGTACTAGAGATGAGCGCCAGCTTGTCTATCCTTCTCTCTCTCTCTCTCTCTCTCTCTCTCTCTCTCTCTCTCTCTCTCTCTCTCTCTCTCTCTCTCTCTCTCTCTCTCTCTCTCTCTCTCTCTCTCCCTCTCTCCCGCTCTCTCTCTCTCTCTCTAATTCCCCTTAAGTTCCCTATTCTCTCATTTGTCTTCAAGCTCCTCCTTTCCGTCCTGCGTCTCCTCTTTACCCTGTTTCTCCTCTTCTTGCTTCTTCTCTTCATCCTGTGTTCTCTCTCTTCGTCTTCTCTTTTTCTCTTCTGCTTCTCCTCCTTGTCCTGTTGCTGCTGTACCTTTGGATTCTCCTCTTTGTCCGGTTTCTTCTCTTCGTCCTGGTTCTTCTCTTCACCCATCTCTGCTCCTACAAACGCGTGTCACAGGAGAGTCGCAGAGATGTTTCCCAGAAAGCTTGAAGAAGAAGGAATTTTATTAAGGGATTAAAGCGAGAACTTTTCCCGGTGGGCGGCCCCAGGAGTCTTGTGACATCCCTCTTCCACTACCTCCTTCAGGCACTCCTCAGCTGGGTGTTCCTGGCACTCCTCAGCTGGGTGTTCCTGGCACTCCTCAGCTGGGTGTTCCTGGCACTCCTCAGCTGGGTGTTCCTGGCACTCCTCAGCTGGGTGTTCCTGGCACTCCTCAGCTGGGTGTACCTGGCACTCCTCAGCTGGGTGTTCCTGGCACTCCTCAGCTGGGTGTACCTGGCACTCCTCAGCTGAGTGTTCCTGGCACTCCTCAGCTGGGTGTTCCTGGCACTCCTCAGCTGAGTGTTCCTGGCACTCCTCAGCTGGGTGTTCCTGGCACTCCTCAGCTGGGTGTTCCTGGCACTCCTCAGCTGGGTGTACCTGGCACTTCTCAGCTGAGTGTTCCTGGCACTCCTCAGCTGGGTGTACCTGGCACTCCTCAGCTGAGTGTACCTGGCACTCCTCAGCTGAGTGTTCCTGGCACTCCTCAGCTGGGTGTTCCTGGCACTCCTCAGCTGTGTGTTCCTGGCACTCCTCAGCTGGGTGTTCCTGGCACTCCTCAGCTGAGTGTTCCTGGCACTCCTCAGCTGGGTGTTCCTGGCACTCCTCAGCTAGGTGTACCTGGCACTCCTCAGGTTGGTGTTCCTGGCACTCCTCAGCTGGGTGTACCTGGCACTCCTCAGCTGGGTGTACCTGGCACTCCTCAGCTGGGTATACCTGGCACCAGGCACTAATTAATGGAAAGATATACCTGGCATTTATTAAAGAGCTAACAAGCCCTAAAGCGCTACAAGATTGCTCGTAATAATAACTTTAGGTTATGAAGTTTGGAAGCTCATAATCTCTTAGATAAATATAAAGAAAGCCGCCACGATGAAGGATTGATGTACTGGTTTCGTTTGTGGTTGTGTAAATGGCAGCAGCCACACACTGGTAATTACTGCAGGAAGGGACTCCCTGGTGAGAGTAATGTGGTCAATAATCTTCAGATGTGGCTTACGCCTCTGTGTCGCTCAGGCATCCTGTCATCCCCCACCAGGTTGCCATGGAGTCCCTGCTTGCAGCATCACGCCCGCGCCTGCCTTCTTCAGGCTCTGGTACGCCCACGCCCTGCCTTCTTCAGGCTCTGGTACGCCCACGCCCTGCCTTCTTCAGGCTCTGGTACGCCCACGCCCTGCCTTCTTCAGGCTCTGGTACGCCCACGCCCTGCTATCTCAAGCCTCAGGCACGCCCACACCCGGCCTTCCTCGGGCTCTGGTACGCCCACGCCCTGCCTTCCTCGGGCCCTGGTACGCCCACGCCCTGCTATCTCAAGCCTCAGGCACGCCCACACCCGGCCTTCCTCGGGCTCTGGTACGCCCACGCCCTGCTACCTCAGCCCTAGGTACGCCTGTACGTCTGTTGACCAACCCGTTCTCTTGATTGACCTCCCACTAAAAATCCAAACCTTTTACCCTAACCAGAAATAATACATATTAAATGACTCATGTCCACACATTTGCACATCTGCTACACATTCCCAGCTGGTTCGTGTCCAGCTGAATAGTTCCCCCCCTTGTCCTTAAATTTATCGGTAACTATGCAGACTAATTATACTCAATTAGACTCATCTCATTACTATATACTGAAACCCGGATATCCGCGCCCGTAGACTTCAGGACGGTCGTTAGTTAATTGTTATAGAAAGAAAGAATATAAAGGTACAGAGGTACCCCCCCCCCTTGTTATAGAACCATCCTGTGTGATGGGGATTTTTTAGCATCACGTAGTTAGCTTTTTGACACATTGTAGTAGGCATCCATCAGTCACAGGAGACTATGGAGTGGCGCTCTGGTTGTCGGTCTGGAGTGGCCTCACCAGGGCGCAAAGCCAGGGTAGGTTGATTCGGGGGGAGAAGCTGTTACCCATGCAGCAGGTCCCCCCTCTCCACGGCGCTGAAAGTCTCCAGTGGAAAGGCATACGCCAATACGATTGGTTCCAGCGCCGTCGCATTGTACTCCCCTTCATATAGTCTATGGTGGCTCCACAGATGCAGATGTACCTAATGTATTAATAAAAAAAAATGTTACACAGCCACACCTTTAACCCACAACAGTACTGTTTCAACAGATCTGTAACGCACAACAATACCGTTACAACAGACCAGTAACCCACAACAATACCGTTACAACAGGCCTGTAACGTCATCTTGTCCGCCAGGTTTTATCTGACTTGTCGCCTTAAAACAGTCCAGACTGTCAACCGTGTTGCTGAAAGTTTAATATCATTAGCGTCGTCGGCTGTCAAGTACTAATGACGCCTCTGGAAAGCTCCTGGATTGATTTCTCTTTAATTAAAGCTCTCGGCAGTCCGTATATAGCCAATCAGGGGTGTCGCGTCATCGCTGGCGGGTAGTGAAACGTTCAATTATCTCCTAAACGTTGGCGATTGTCAGTTACTTTGCTGAGGGGTAGAGGCACTGAATGTGTCTGTGTGTGTGAGTGCGTTTTTTTTTGTGTGTGTGTGTTGTTTCAGTGGTGTTTACGTCTCTCAGGTAGTAACCGGTAACTCTCTCCGGATACCGCTGTCATTCCGTGGTAGGCAACAGAATGGAAACTGAGGAAATGAGGTCTAACCGACCTTTCCCTAGTAGTACTATTACTCTTTCTACAAGGGAAATATTCGGTAAATATTAGTGCTTCTAATTAATGCACTAATTAGTGTGAAGCATTAGTGCTTCACACTAGCTAGCACTGCTGCTGTTGCTGCCATACTCTATATATATAACATGTGACACAGGAGACATCATCACTTGTTCTAAAAATTAACATATGGCGTCACATTTACAAGAACAGTCTCAACATACGTAAATGACCTGTATTGAGAGGGGGAAAAGAGAGAGAAGGGACAGGGAGAGAGAGAGGGGGGAATATATATATATATATATATATATATATATATATATATATATATATATATATATATATATATATATATATATATATATATATATATATATATTGACGGAGGCAATATAGGTTCTCCCACTAATATAACTTTACATTATGTCATCCTGGACTCAGCTGGAAATGCCATTTGTGTTTCTCACAGAGTTTACATAGCGTGCGCGGCAAGGAAATGAAACTCGGTATCTCTCACAGTATATCTGTAACGGTCAGAGCAGGAAAGGGAAACTGAGTATCTCTCCAGGAGTATCTGTCGCGAGAGAAGCAAGAGCAGAGGGAGAGGACGGAGAGGGGGAAGGCAATGTGAAGGATCGGTATCTGTCGCGCTCGGGAAGTGTCAATATTGCATGTAGGAAGTTTGTTTACGTTCGTGTAGTTGAAGTGGATTCGGGCCGCAGAGTTTCTCAGAAACTCCAACACGCGTTCTGCCGCTTTGACCGCCTCTCTCATTATACGCTTTCGGATACTACAATTCCTCTCTCAGTAATTCGTAAACAAGCAAAACATTTTAAATTAACTCAAGGGTTATCTTGAGGTTATCTTGAGATGATTTCGGGGCTTTAGTGTCCCGGCGGCCCGGTCCTCGACCAGGCCTCCACCCCCAGGAAGCAGCCCGTGACAGCTGACTAACACCCAGGTACCTATTTTACTGCTAGGTAACAGGGGCATAGGGTGAAAGAAACTCTGCCCATTGTTTCTTGCCGGCGCCTGGGATCGAACCCAGGACCACAGGATTACAAGTCCAGTGTGCTGTCCGCTCGGCCGACCGGCTCCCTGGGTATCCGTACCAGCGATACATATTAAAATGCGTTTCATTCCGTAATGATTTCTTATATTATTGCAATACAAAATGTTGATCTGCAAAATAAGAAATTCACTATTGGTTTAAATAAAGAAAACTTATGTTTTTATTGCAAGGGTCGACGTTTGAGGACGATTTAAAGCTATCTTACATGTATGTGTATTAATACAATATACACTAAATAATCAAAACTATTGTTAATCTTATGAAAACAAATGGATTTATATCATCCTCGAATCTTCTTTTTCGGAATATTATCATCCATCAAGTGGATGGATGATACCAATTTGATATCATACCAATTTGATTCAAAGAAAGCAAGTGATTTCCCCTAATACTGCAAATATTTAATGATGGTACTAATGTATCATGCTGAATAATATTTAGGTAGATGTGTAGGTAAACAGGTACATGGGTAACAAGATATATGTGCTGATTGATAAATATATAATGTAGATAGATTTCACGTTTCATGCAGGTTGGCGTTCAGTTCCCGATCGTCCAAGTAGTTGGGCACCATTCCTTCCCCCCGTCCCATCCCAAATCCTTATCTTGACCCTTTCCAAGTGATATATAGTCGTAATGGCTTGGCGTTTTATCGTGATAGATCCCTTGCCCCTTGATAGATAAATCAATAGATAGGGTGGTAGTTTCATAGAGAGGCTGATCCATAAGTAGATAGACATGTTAATAGATGTTCCACACCTGTGAGGTGGAGGCATGAGGAGTAACTCTTCCTCACCTGTGAGGTTTCTCACCTGTGAGGTTCCTCACCTGTGAGGTTCCTCACCTGTGAGGTTCCTCACCTATGAGGTCCCTCACCTGTGAGGTTCCTCACTTGTGAGGTTCCTCACCTGTGAGGTTCCTCACCTGTGAGGTTCCTCACCTGTGAGGTTTCTCACCTGTGAGGTTCCTCACCTGTGAGGTTCCTCACCTATGAGGTCCCTCACTTGTGAGGTTCCTCACCTGTGAGGTTCCTCACCTGTGAGGTTCCTCACCTATGAGGTCCCTCACCTATGAGGTCCCTCACCTGTGAGGTTCCTCACTTATGAGGTCCCTCACCTGTGAGGTTCCTCACTTGTGAGGTTCCTCACCTGTGAGGTTCCTCACCTATGAGGTCCCTCACCTGTGAGGTTCCTCACCTGTGAGGTTCCTCACCTGTGAGGTTCCTCACCTGTGAGGACAACACTTCCTCACCGCCCCTCATAAAACACGTCCCGGAAAGCCAGATTCTCTCGGACCATTAAACTTAATAATTACGCCGCCGGAGAGGAAAAAAAAAAGTTTTCCCCCTTACGGGAAAATAATTAATAAATTGGACGAAGGTGGAGGAGGAAAATTGGGAATAATTTTGGGAAAATTGACATCTTGCTAGAAACTACAGTATAATTATATTAGTCACAAATTGCTAGTGATTAGAGGAACTAGAAATTACTAGAGGTATTAGCCGAAATTAGAAAAGGTGAAGAAAATGTTCACTCGCGTAACTTTCGTTCAGAAGATGTTCACTCTTACATAAGTCTAAAGATAACAGTCTCTCTCTCTTACAAGGGCTTAGCTGGAGGAAAGTGTTCATACTTCGTTCAAAGTTCAACATGAACATTACGGAAATAATGAGAGATTCACTTCACCTGCTGCAGGTATGTGCTACGTAACACAGATAGAACAGAGACGGATGCTGCGGCAGGCTTCTGACAAGGGGGTAACCTCATCTCCAGATGATGCTTCTGTATAAACTAAGTAGTTATATCTAGTTATATCACACAGATGAAGTGTTCTCTCTCTCTCTCTCTCTCTCTCTCTCTCTCTCTCTCTCTCTCTCTCTCTCTCTCTCTCTCTCTCTCTCTCTCTCTCTCTCTCTCTCTCTCTCTCTCTCTCCCTCTCTCTCCCAGTGTCAAAAGTGTAATATTATTGAACTATGATTTAGGGTAAGGTCCGATGGAGATTCATGAATGCAATATATTCAGATTAAGGAATATGAGACTGTATGTACTTGTGCATTATATTGTACTTTCTTAGTTGTACTCACCTAGTTGTGCTTGCGGGGGGTTGAGCTCTGGCTTTTTGGTCCCGCCTCTTAACCGTCAGTCAACTGGTGTACAGATTCCTGAGCCTTCTGGGCTCTATCATATCTTCATTTGAGACTGTGTATGGAGTCAGCCTCCACCACATCACTTCCTAGTGCATTGCATTTACCAAGTACTCTGACACTGAAAAAGTTCTTTCTAACGTCCCTGTGGCTCATTTGGGTACTCAGCTTCTACCTGTGTCCCC